ATCCATCTGATGGAGAAGCTGTTCTCTTTTCCAAGTATGTGAAAAGGAAAGGCTTGGCCATAATCTGGTCAGGAAGCTCCATAAAAGTAGTGAACAAAGATGGAATTTAGGTGAAAAGGTGCTTTGGAAGATGCCAGCTGGATCTCCTCTTGTTCTGCCACCACAAGGCCCTCAAAGTATGAAGTGACTGGAAAAATAAACTCTGGAGCCATCTGTATCCTCACCTCAGCTGCACCCTGTGGCTGTAGAATTGCTGGAATGTTGCTCTGTGTTGAAAGATATAAATGTTAAGAATTCTTTCCTCTGTTTCTTAGTTAAAGTAGTTTGGTTGAAACTCTGTGGGTGTATTTGTGCGTTTGTGTGTGAAGGAGAGAGGGAGATGGAGTTAGAAAGAGCGGAGTTTCTCCATCTCTTCCCATCCAGTGAAGGGATTGACATCCCCATCTTCTTTTCTTTCTGTTCCAGCGCTGGAGAGGGGCCTCAGCTGGGAGGGGAGGGAGGCCGCGCAGGGCCCGCAGTGCTTTCTCCGCAGGCTGCCTGGGAATCTCCTTCGCACAACCTAAAAAATACCGTGTCTTTTTTTTCCTGGAAAAAGCAGCCAAAGATAGAGAGGAAGGCTGGTGCCAGATGGATCAACGATCGTGAGATCTCCACTTCCATCCGATTCCTTTTTTACCTAACCAGAGAGCGGCACTCGGCCCAACGTCATCCTTAAGGCAAAATGCGCAGTGGGGGATGGCCCCCATTTCCCCCTCAAATGATTCTGCAGCCTTTGCTTTTGACAACCTCCCTGCAAGGTAGACCCTCTGCTGTGGAACCTCGACTGCCAAGAGACGTTTCCCCTCCTGCCAGCTCCACCCACTTCCGCCCTCCTCTTGCACACGGACGAACATTTGGGTGCTTGAGGTCAGGAATTCACGGCCTTCCTTCAATATCCTCCAGGTTCAACATGTTTCTCTCTTTCTACTCTTCCCTGCAGGAGCCAAAAAAAACCACTGAATTTTATTTAAAGAAAAATAAGGATGCTTTAACTTTTTATTTTTATGGGGCTCTTAAACAACACAGATAATACAAGTACAAAACCATTATATATAGTTTTATTTTTGAACTATTAAAAATAAAACAGCACTAAAAAGAAGAAAAGGGGAAAGAACCTTCCCACCTAAACTTTGTCCGCAGACCCAAGACATCTATTGCTGTCCCCCCGCCCCCAGAAGAAGAACCCACATTGTGAGATTTCCAGAGAGGGAAGGAAAGAGCCCTCTCTGTCCAGAGATTCAGTGCGGGGGTCCAGGAAGCCCCCCCACCCTCCAGGTGCTATCAAAGCACCATGGCCTGCGTTTCACATGGCCGTGTGCCTGCAGCCTACCAGGGCACCCAGCAATGCTGAGTGCCACAATTCCACCCTTTCTGCCACCCATCTGCTCTGGACCATCTGCTTCTCTGAGACAGGAGCAAGATAGGTTGTGCTGGCTGCAGGAAGCTCTCCTTTCTCCCAGCAAGAGGCGGAGGAGAGCAGGCTGAGAAAGAAGCCCAGGGCTTCCTTGCTCTCCTCCTTCCCCTGCAGGCCCTGCTTCTCCAGGCCGCCCAGCTCTCCCGGCTGCCTCTCCCGGCTGCTGGCAGAAGAACGGTCCGGCCAAGGAGCCAGAACTGAAGCCGTCCAAAGTAGGAACGGAGGAGAACATCCGGGGTGCAGACTTGCTGCCGGCACTGAAAGCTGGAAACCCATTTCAGGCCTCTCACGTCCCACTCCTGGTGCTATGAACGTACTGGGGGGCAGTGAGA